GAACTTCTGGCTTGTTTAAAACCCACCAGCACAACAACAAAGTAGCAATAATTTTTGCTAGTTGGAATGTTGAGCTTTGTATTTTATGTTTGGGCTTATAATTTGAATTAAGGAAAAAATGTATATTTACACTCTCTCCTTATCTCTAGGATCCCTATTTGCTAGATAAATACTGCATTCCCATAAGGAATGTTGAAGCATCATTTGTTCCTGTCTAAAGAGGTGCAGTTGTGACTCAGGCCAAACTCTAGACTCTTTTTTAGGGAAGGGAAATTCTGCTGAGGTTTGAGAAGTAAAACCAGAGTAGCCACCGAGGCTGGTCAGTGCAGAATGGGACTTGGGACATGTCTGCACTTGCTGGAGTATTGTGATGACATGATGTCCAGTCCTGGGGCAATAGCTAATAAAATAATTCATTAACATTATTAAACTTCTTAGGCAAGACTGTTCAGAAGAACTAGGTATATTTAAGGGAAGGGGTTTTTACATAGAAAATAGGTTGGGTTAGTGAGTGCCTACAGAAACTCAGTTTTGCAGAAGTGAAGGCACCAAATGAATTGTTTGTACTGTGGAGATGCAATCATTTGTAAACTACCTGCACAAATATTTAACCTTGATGCATTGGTCCATGATCCAAGGAAAATTATTACGATTTTAAAATTTAAACTTCATCATTTAAGCTTTTCCTTCCAAATTACAGAGTAATTTTTTGAGTTTTTACAATATTACTCTAAAAATAAAAGCTCAGTGAGGATAATTTATATGCCTTTAACAAATTTTCCTTTAAAAAAAGGACCTGTAAAATGCCTTTACAACTAAATGACTATTCCAAATAATTTCACTGAAAATACTAAAAGAAAAGTATCATCTTATACGTAGGACCTGGCACAGAAAATACCATCTAAAAAAGATTTTTAATAGGAAGATTTAAGCATATGTATCTAGGTTATAATAAAGTAATGACAGTATTTGCTGTCAGATTCAGGTTCTAGAGTATCAAACAGTCCAGAACTGAAATGTGAATGTGTGTTTTTCTGAGTTTTCACCTTGTTTTTCTGTTATTGCTTTCAGCAACTACTGTTGTCAACTGGGCACTCAGGATACTTTTTCTCCTGCACAGAAGTGTTGATGGCTTGGGAACACAGCTTTAGGGTTAATTTTCTGAAGTGATGTTTTGAAATGTGGTTATTTTTGTAAGTCACTAGTCAGAGCAGAGCAGACAAACTAACAAAATGTGAAATATTGGAGCTGCTGGGGATGGATTGAAGACTAAATATAATTAAATTGAAACAACAGGATGAATGATGTCACGCTCAAAATAGAACTCACATAATTTACAGTCCAATTTGATATACTTCATGTTTCTTGCTTGAGCAGGCCTAGGACATTGAGCAATGGGCATTTAGTGGTTAGTATTTAAAATATTACTGAAAGGGGGAGTTTAGTAACAGCATTCATTGTTTAATATAAAAGATACAGTTTGATAAAAGCTAAATAAGGTCAATCTCTACTTGTTAAACATAAAAAAGAATATGTATTTATTTAGTGGGGGAAGGTCTAAAGACATGGGTGTAAATAGGTTGTCCCTTTCAGTAAGCATAGGATGAGATCAGAGAAGCAGAATCTTAATTTTCAACTGTAATTTTCCCCCAAACACTTCCTAATCCCCAATCTATAAATCCTAGTGGCATCATGGGGTATGTTTTATAGCAAGTATCTGTGTGTGACTCCTCCAGGCCTCCATGAGGTTCTGGCTGCTCCTCTCCATGCTGAGCTGTCCCATCAGCAGCTGCTCCCTGCTTTTTCTTGGGTCTGTGTGTAGGAGAGACCACAGTGCCTCGATCCAGGTGCTCCCCACCACTCAAACACATGAGCTGAGATGAGGAATGCTGTTTGTTGAGCTCATTCACACATGAGGACAGCTCTTCTCATTCAATCCCTCTTCTGTGCTCCTTACAGAGGTGCATTCCTGGCTCTTGGGTGGGGCATTGTACTGCTGGACTGCCACAAAAATTGAGTAATGGAGCCTCTATGAGCTGCACACCATCCATGACTGAAGAGTCTTCTTGATCTGTGCCTGAGAAGACTTTACTGTCTTTTCTCTCAGCAGTCACTGCACTTTCATTTCCCTGATGCACATGTAGTAGAATGAGTCATGTTCTCTTGTGTAAGCACAGGTTGTAACACATGGGATATTTTATAATGGCTCCTCTTCTTTCAACTTATTTCAATTTCCATTCCATATTTCCAGCTGATGCTTTTCTAAGGCTGAAATTTTGAATGCAAAAAGCAGTTTTTTCTGTCCTGAGTTATAAGGTAGGATACTGACTGTTATTAAGGTGGATAAGTGTTGCAGAGTAAATCAGGAATAATCACAACAGCCCTAAACTGCTTCCAGAGGTACTGGGCAGAGCCTAAGTGCACCTGCACAGGAATTTTCTCTTCCTCCTCTAGCAGGATGTTTGGGCACTGTGCTGTGGCTGCATGCCCTGGTGTTGGAAGGACGAATTCCTACACACAAAATCTTACAATATTCACAGACTTTTTTTTCCCCCCATTACATGTCTCTGTTCACTATTCAACATCAAGTTCCTACTAACTCTTTGTTTAGCTGCTGTGATTCTGCTGCTGCTGGGAGAGTAAGCTCTAAGGTAGGTTGAGAAATCCTGTTTTAAACTTTTGAATAGGCAAAACCAGTGCAGTGGTAGTGGAAAAGGGGCAGGAGGTGATAAAATAGAGTGATGCTTACAACTCTCAAGTTTGGTTGTTAGCAATGCATGCATGACAACTGGTCCAGTAAAAACAAACAAAAAAGCTCAAAATCAATGAATTCTCCAGCAGCCATACCAAACCAAGCATCCAAACAAGAAAAATGACCAGCTGAAAACAAACCCACATTTCTTAGTGCTCCTTTGACCCAGAGCAGCTGCAGTGGTAGTAGGAAAGCTCTGTACAGGCTTGGTCTCTGATTTGTGCAAATGTCAGACTGCACAGAGAGTAATGTTGGAGGAAAGCTGTTCTCCTTCCCATCTCACAAATCCCTTGTTTAGCTTTACAGTTGATTATTTAGATAAATATTTTTTTAAAGTCAAAGTTCATCTCATAATAAGAACTCTAGTTTCAGGTTGCCCCATGAATACCCCCAAAAAGTATTGGGATTCCCAGGTTGAGCCCCTTCTCTAACCTTTGATTTGTTTATTCTCATATCAAGTAAACCTTTAATTTATACTGATTAAGAAAATCTGCCCCCTCTTCTAATGCACATGTGTAGTGGCTGAGAAGATTCAGACCCTCATGGCTCAGGTTCAGTTGTGTTGCTTAAATCCACAATAGAAAAACCTTGCTAGCCAGCAAGAAAGCAAATATTCAGAGGTCTGGGAGCTCTGTGGAGAACACTGACCATAACTGTCAGATTGTAAATTAATTTAAAATCATGTAATATCAAAAGTATGGAAACAGAATGTAAACACAAGTTATTACTCATCTATAGCCATATTTGACATCTTTCCATCTTGGAACTTGATTCTTATTTTGCACAGATGTGAAGGCCTCACTAGTACAGAATTCATAGAAATCCACACAGCAGTAATCTGAACCTGGGAAGAATAGAAACAGTGCCTTCAAAGTACTCTTGTTATCTGTGTTTACCTGAGCATGGCAGCTCCAGTGCCCTGTGCTCAGCTGTAGCTTTCAGGGGTGAGAATTGAGAGCCTTCAGTTCTCAGTTGTGAGCGCTTCTCTCTATTCTTTTCTTTTGTGACCATCCTTTTTTGCCTTTCTTATGCTAAAAAGATTTACTTTTTAAAGCTTTTAACTTAAAAGAGCATACTTCATAGAGAAATGGTAATTTTAAGGCCAGCTGAAAAGGCTGACAAAAGTCCTACAACTGCCACATTTGTCTGGCCTTAGGGAAAGAGCAGCATTTGCAAAGCACCCTTGGGGTTTTATCTGTGGCTGGGACCCCTGAGTGACTCTGGGTGTGGGCTGCTTCTACCAAACTCCTGTGCCTGGTGGGGAGTGGATGAAGTGTCTGTGCTTGGGCTGCCTGTGGGAGAACATCCTTGGTGCTCACACCACTGTCAGCAGTGATCAGACCCTGCGGAGTCTGAGCCCCACCTCCCACGTTTGTGTCACTGCTGGCAATGTAATTGCATAAAAGTGTAAAGAGAGAAAATCTTGTGGTGTTTGATTTGAGGATGGCTTGAAAAAAGCTGATTAAAACACAGCTGATTCTGAGGTTTTGTTACAAACTTGTGTGAAGTGCCTGTGATGTTATTTGGGAAATAGAATGAAATGCTGAGTATGCCTGAAAAAAAAACCAAACAAAACAACACAAAAAGGAAATAAACTATTAATCTGAGAAAACAAAGAGAAAAGGGTACAAAAGAGACACTTCCATGCCACTTCTTCAAAGAGATTCTTCTTTATGCCATCTGATGTAATTTTGGCACTGGCTGACGTGATGTTTCTAGCAAACCACCTCATTCTGTGTTTTGTTTTCCTCTTTTTCATCTCTGATTGACAGTCCCACCAAGAAATAACAATGAAAAGGACTTCCATAGGATTAGATAGAGGCAGTTAAATTTCCTGGGGCACAAGTGTGTTTTGAGGAAAGGGATAAAAGTGTATTATTCTCTGGATAATCCTGGCTGAAATATAAAGGACTGCTTTTGGTGAATAATTAGAGAAAATATCCCAAACCTATCTTTAATTGGTAGAGCATAAAAACATGTATTAACAAAGATTAAATATATTTTTGCTTTGGCTCCAGATAAGTGAATAATTTGTTGTATTTTTCTTGCATTGGATTGTATTTTTTATTATCGGTTCACTTTGGTGACAATAGTGACTCAGTAACTCTAAGTCAGAAAAGTACAAAATTATTGAATCAGCATTAAGGTGAATATTTTATGGTATGACTCATATTTTTGTATTTTCCTTCATTTTCTTCCTCTGCAGGTAAGGGCGTTTTGCTTTATTTGGTTTTTTTAACTCTCACGAGAAAACATAAAAAGGATATGTATGATTACACTGATTTGTGTTTATGATCTGAATTGCTAGGAGATAAGCTCTTTGTTCCTATCTATTGGAAAGTGCAGAAGAGCAGCTACAGAAATGATCTATCAGCATTCATTCACCTCCCACATGTGACAGTCTGTTGTGTGCTGGGAATCAGCCTCAGGTAAAGCCACCTCAGGAAACCAAACTTTTTCTGTGTCGATCTGCTGGTTCTTGACAGAAGGACTTTCTGAGGAGGGCTGAGGCAAAGGAGGTTCAGGTCTTGCAATGAATGCCATGTAGCCAGAGAACAGCCAGTTCATGAGCTCTGGAAATAACCTGTATTTCTCATGGTGTGTGGGGAAGGCAGGGTGTTTGCAACTCTCAGGGCTACTGGGAGAAGACCAGCAGCAAACCAACTGTGCTGAAGGGGCTGTCCAGGAGCCTGGAGTGTGGTCCACAGGACAGGGGTGATGCATGCTGAATCCTCACTATACCTTTGGGGTTTTGCTTGGATTGTCACATTCAGCTGAGTTTGGACAGGTGTTTCTGCCCTTTGTGGAATGAGACTTGCCTTGGCCTTGCTGACTTTATCCTGTGTGCATCTGAAGCTGCCCATTTTCTTTGTTTCCGTGGCTCGTGGTAGCTGCAGTAGGCTCCTGTTGGGGAAAGAGGAAGAGAAATTACAGTCTGCCTGATCCTGATGGAAGCAATTGGTGCACCACCATGCCTTGGTGCTTGCCAGTTTGAATTGTGTCAGCCAGGTCACCAGCACGTGGCAGAACCGCAGTTCAGAACCATCGTCCTTGGATAATTCATTGCCATGATAGCTGTAAGCTTTCACACACTGCCCTGCCAAAAGGAAAAATGTAACATTTATCAAGAGAAATCATATGGAAAATTGGTAATTATAAGAAAAAAAAGAAATCTGTATTTTTTATGACAGTGCTCAAAGTATTTTTAGGCAGTCTAGATATGTTGTGAGAAAATGTTTACCTCAAGGCTACTTCTTTCTTTGTGTGATGTGCAATCATACATGTACCTATGTGGTGAAATAGTTTTGTGTCTTTACAGTTTTAGTTTTATTAAAGAAAAACATGTCCCTTTGAAAAAAATATAAAGATGCTCACTTTGTCTGATATTTTGGCAGTGCACATTTCTCTATCCATCTCATTCTCACTGAGAACTGTCCCTGCTCTTCAGTGTGACTATTTTGGTTCTGCTGAGACTGCCATATACCAAGGAATGATTTATAAAGACCACAAAACAAGTTTGAGGGGATTTACTTGGGTTTGAGGGGATTTACTTGGGAAAATTTTGGGCCTGTGCTGAAAGAAAAAGTTACAAAGTAACTTCCCTATTACAACTCAGGATACTTAGTTTCCATTGCTGCCAAGTGTAATTAGATCTACAGATAACACATACAAAATTAATCTTTTTCTGTTGTGGTCATGATTCCTTAGTGCTCTCAGAACATGTGCGCTGCCTGTTGTTGTTTTACCCAAACTCTTTTTCAGCCTTTCAGCTTGTGCTTGTACTGATTTTCCAGAGAAGAACTGCATCCATTTGCCTCTCTGCAACAGCAGAGGAAGCTGAGGGTATGAGCACTGAGCCAGTGTGGGCATTAACTGAGCTATTTCACAGAAAGCCTCTGGAGAGGTGTTGGAAGGACTTGAGGTCTGTGAGCTTCCACAGTTGGGTGGTCTGTGAAGCAGCCCACCGAGAGCCTGGGTGAGGTGGGAAAGGAAAGAATGCAATTACAGCCTAATTACAAATCCAGATTCTCTTCTGCAAAATGTGTAGTTTCCTTTTCTGCCACAAAAGTGACCTTTAAGGCAGTTAAAAACAAATGCTCAGCAAAGAAATTACATAGTTCAGAATAGCCAGTAACCACTGGTTAGTTTTTCTGTTTGATTCATCTCTGCAATCTCCAACCACTTGCCTAGTGGCTACTCTGATGGGAAAATAGAGCCCAGGCATTACAAATCTGTCCCATAAAACCTCTTTGACATGGGTATGTTCCAAGGAAAAGCTTATTTTTCCCTTTCCTCCTTCCTGCACCCCTGAAATAACCATATTCTGACTACAATAAATTTTTTGGAATATCCCTAACACCTATAACTAGCAGCTGCTGAGTGCTTTTTTTTGTTGAGGAATGAAGTAGTGTGCCCTGAACAAGGTGGGAACTGGCCTTTCTGGAGAAGAGGCAGTCACTTGTGAACATGATTAATGACAAATCCATGCTGTGATGCTGATTGGGTACTTGCTTTGGGTGGTGTCTAAGGAATTTATTAGTGGGTAAAAACAGTTTGCAGAAAGATCAGTTTACTAAATGGGTCTAGCAGATTTTTCCTCAGATTTACTACACATTTTGGGATTGCAGGAAAGCATCTCTCCTCAAATGTGTTGTTAGATTCCTAGTGGAAATAGTTGTCAGATATTCAGTCAGATTTCATACCTGATTTAATCTCTACATAACTGTTAACTAGATTTTATTGATTATCTATGTTAATTATGTATTTTAAAACATCAATTGCCTTACTGCAGAGTTCTCAGATAATTTGGAAGCTTTATTTTTTCCCTTGGCTTAGTCATGTCTCTTGAATATAACCAAGGAAAGCAGGAAGAAGCATGGAGCTGTGTGAATTGCTCACCCCAAGCAATATTTGACCTTGGGGTATCTTTCCTTCCCTTGCAGTGACTATTTCACTGTCAAGGGATGAATTGTCCATGAGTCTTGTTAGCACCAAGCTGTGGATGATGAATGTCCACAGCAGAGAATGACTCAATACTTCCCAATGGATGATACAGGAAAGAGCAAAACAAATGAAGATGTGCTGCAATGCCCAGGCTCTCCAATCTGAGTCAGCTACACCTGCCTTGGGCTTCTATTTCAGTATCCTTTTAAATCATCTATTCCTCTGCTGAGATCCTTTACAGTAATACAAACAGACTTTAAACTTACTGAGATGGGGAAAGATTGCTGCCTAAACTGGGATGAGGTTCCACTAACATGTTTGGAAGAGATAGTGTTGATGAAATTAAGTTAATTTTTTTTTTTTTTTTTTTTTTTTAAATAAGCATGGGTATTTTGTCACCATGTCAATGATTGATATACTCCACATTGGTAACTGACTTACTGCAGGAAAAAAAATTGAACTTATTAAAATATTTCAAGGCAAAGATGAGCACATCATCTGAATGCCACCGGGGCACGTTGGGAACAGAGCAGCAATCCCAAGCAGTAGTAGAATCACAGGGAAACAGGAACCTACAGTATTTGTGAAGTCATTTAACCTACTTCCCTGCCCCAGGGCAGGATTAAATTCATCTGGTGGAGTTTCAGACAAAGTGGTACATGAAATGTTCATTTACACTGCTAGGCAGAATGTCATTTTGCTTGGGTTACAGAACTAGCTAGTGAATATAGCCTGGAGGGGAGGAACCTCTGCTCAGAGGACTAGTCTGGGATTTGATACCTGTCAAGCTAATTCTGTGATCCATCAAATCACTCTGATCATTCTTTCTCCATTGGACTGTGTGCAGTGTACAGAGGAAGACTGAGCTGGCTGCAAGCACCTCCTGCAGCACTGATCAATAGGGCCATACAGACACCAGTTCTCGCTCTTTGAAAACCAGCATAGCCCCAGGGCAATGGATGGGATTTACCGAACCCTGCTGGTGGGACTGTGCTGCTTTGTTTTACCTGCACTGGGAGCTCAGGTGTCATTTTCCTGCTCTTTATTGCATGATGCGGGTGTGATCTGCCCAGTGCCTGGAATCTCAGGAGAACAGGGATTGTAAAGCAGCTCTCATCAGCTCACACAACCACTTGTTCATCACAGGTACCTTCATATGTTCTCTTTGTTTCTGCTTCCCTGACCGTGGGACACCAGAGCATTTGTCTCTGCGATACTGTTTTTTTATTATTCCAGTAGATGTCCCATCTGTGAAATGAGAGTATGTTGCTGTGGTGGTTACGAGGTACACAGTGTCAAGGAGAGTAAAATACCCACAGCAGACAAAAGTTCAGAAGATCTATACCAGTGTAAGAAGTCTCTTGGGTCGTTTGTCCCTCCGCTGTCTGAAGCTATTCCCGATTTATACCATCCTGATGGAATCATCAAGTCTGGGTTGGAAAAAACAGATGAATCTGGCTAAGAGGAGAGTCTGGAAGCTCAAAGCTGTGTCCACAAACTCTCCCCCAGTTCATTCCCAGGCATAGTAACCCCAGTTCTGCTGGGGTCCTGTTTCACTTCTGGTGTCGGTTCCTCTCATCCCTTCACTGGGTTTGCATTTTGTCAGGCTCACAGGCAGCTATGGGAGTGTTTGATCTCTGGTTTTTCAATGTGTGACACTTTTCCTAAGGCCATCACAAGGAGCACAGAAAGGCCTGTGCTCATCCCTAACACATCTGAGCGTAGCAGGGCGCCAGGCTCGGTAGGACCTGTTAGCAGGGACAATGCTCTTGTGCCTTTCGAAGGGTAAATGTGGAGAGCTGTGCTGGAGTTTGGGTGATTTGGGGTGTTTTGTTTTGAATTCTCTGCTCATAACAGCCTGGTTTAGCCTCTTTATGTTGCTTTTTCAGCAAAGAAACTAAAACAATATCAACCAGGGTACTTAAACTACTAAGTAGCTTTGAATCTGTTTACTGAAGTGTGCTCGGTTTGACCTGAATCTGAGGCTCTTCTGCGCTAATTAAACTTACTTTTAATTGGTATATCTTCTGTACTCACTTGTTTTAGCTTCTTGCTGTTACAGTGTGTTTATATATGTGTTGTGTCAGACCCCATAAAAATCCCTTTTTTGAGAGAGCTTTAAAGATGACAGTACCATATGAAATTGTAGTATATTTTAATCGCATTTTTCTTTTTTCTTCTTAATCAGCCATTGTGGGTTCTGCCAGACGGACAGATTACTGTCACCATTCGTCGAGAAATCTGCCTGTGTTCTTTATCCTCTCTTCCTAAATCAGGGTATCCTCTTCTATTTCATATTTATGTAACAGTCGTCTCTCAGAGACCTTCCCTTTTCCAGCATTATTTTCTCTCTTAAAGCCAAGAAGAAACACACACCCACACAGCACCCCGTGTTGGTGATGGCCCATTAAGCACCACGGACACAGTAAATTCAGCATATGCCTGCAGTTTGCTGCAGTTATCCCTCAGTCTGATGAGAGGAGAGCTTGCCAGCCTGCTCCATGCATTACAGAAACTCTTCCTGTTACTCACTAGGGCTGCAGCATTCCTCTCAGGCTGAATTTAGGTTCCAGTGTCTGGTCTCCTCTCAGCCCTTTTAATCAGACACCATAAAATACATTAATAAATGACTTGTTTTACCACTTCCACGACTAATGAGCACAGGGCAGAGCAGTGAGTCCCCTAAAAGCTCACTGGTGAACGGATTGATTTCAATCCCCTTGGAAAGAGACTATTTTGTAATGCTGCCAAGTGAGGCATCTCATCCTCATTCTGACAAATTCATTTAAGCCCAGGCAGTTGGTGCAGGAGCCACATTCCCAGCTGACACGCTGGTACAGACTGGTAATGGCAGCAATATTAGGAAGTGCATTGGAAGGAGCTTAGACCCTGATCCTATCTACAGCTCCCTGTGAGAGAAGAGATTTGGCAGCAGACAGACAAGGATTATGTGTTGCATC